CAAGTAAAAGTACTTAAATACACATACTCTGTGACCCAGCAGCTTCACATCCAGGTGTCAGTCTTTCACATGTACTAACACAAGTGTGCAAAGAAATAAGTGCAGAGTACACACTGGGAGTGTAATGTGGAGTAGCAAAAGTCCTGAAGCCACCTAAATGGCATCCATACCACTGGCTGCCAATGGGTATATAAACATGGCATGCTGGCTAAGGAAGGAACTGGGTAAGTGGGGCATGGCCACACAACAGAACACTAGGCAGACATTCAGAGGATGAAGTGGATTCATATCCGTGATTATTGGTGAGAAAAGCTAGGTTGTTGGTGCATGGGACTTAGATGCCAAACCCCACTGAGGGAAGAGCAAAGTGCTGTACTGCTCCACCAACCCAGAAAGATGCCAATGGCGGTAAGTGTTACTGTGTTACCCTCCACACAGAAACAGGAGGAGTGGGGAGTAAATGTTCCTCCTAACAAATATCTGTAGAAGGATGTGCAGGAACCTGAGGGGAATGGCTGCCTCTCGGAAGGGGACTGGGAGCCTGGCGTCAGGTGTGGTGGTACAGAAGGGAGACTTACTTTATATCGAGATAAAGGAGGAAAGGGTCATTTTCATTCCCTCTTAAAGATTTGTGGGCTTCCTTCACCTTCTGTATAATTTTTTCCAAGGCTTTTGGTGAGGTCACCAGCTATGCCACAAGTTCTGTCATTGTTTTACCTCATTTTGCTTTTTACTGGCGATCTGAATTCCAGATGTCACCATGGGAGAGTACTAAGTAAGTGACATCTACTTCTGTATTCCTTAAGTTTCATGGATGCCCAAGGGTTTAAAACAATCTCCAGGGCGGGGGATTTAGCTCAGTGTTTCCGGCGCCTGCCTCACAAGCGCAAGGTCCCAAGTTCGATCCCTGGTACCAAAAAAAACTAAAACAATCTCCAGCCACCCTTGTAAGCTCGCATAGGTTTCTCTTAAACTGGGCTCAAAAACATAGCCCTTTCCCTGTAGGAGCCAATTCCTGATATCTAAAATTTCCAAGAGAAATCACTCCCATGGCTTAACGCAGTGCATCCCAGAGGTCTACCAGGCATTTGAGATGGACTGCCAGGACTTCCCTAGCTCTGAGGTCCACATTTTTACTTACATAGTGTTTTTCTTAAATGACCCAGTTCAAAACTTTAACAAATTTGTTTTAAAAGGATATTTTATGTCACTACTATAAATGGTATTACTGTAAAAAAGAAAGAACCTTAAATAAACTCAAAACAATGCTGTTAAATTCTAGCTACAAGCTGTGGCCTGGCCAAAGCTTAGGCTTTTCTTTTTTGTGAAACAAACAAGCAAACAAACAAACAAAAAGCAAGAAAAGCCTGGCAAGCATTAGAGACAGATGAGCACTGAACTGGATCTTTTTCCCAGGTGTACTTAGAAGGACTGAGTTGAGGCTTTTCTCACTATGTAGTTCGGGGTTATTTAATCCCCCAGCAATGTACCATTCAAAACCATGCTTTGTAATATTTGAATTCCATGCTTTGGAATTTATGCTTTGGGGAAAATAATGGGTTAAAGCCCTTTTTTCTTTTCCAGAAAGTTTCAGATTTGTATCCATATGCAGTTGTGTCATCTGGGCTGGACAATATATGGAGCCATTCTCATCTTGGAGTCCCTGACCCTGGTGAACTCGGCCTTTGGCATTCCAGATGATATTAAAGTAGCATGGTAGTCAGCATGGTTTGTGAGCCTTTTTCCAAGCTCAGAAATGCAACTATTTTGAGGCAGCATAAGATAGCAGCTGAGAATGACGCAGGTGTAAACAAAGGGGAATTTGTCTGTGTGAAAGGAATTGGAAGAATTTCTGAGCTGCTTCATTGGGTTTTCCCAAGTGGTGATGCACAGAATTCCTGCTGGGACCTCCCAGGCCGAGTGCTACAGCCACACAGCTGCTGGCTCACTGGGTTGAGTCCTGGGTCTCAAGGAGCAGCCCCTGTGTGAGCCCAGGAGCTGAGGTCATTCCCACGAGGGAATAACAGGAGGAGAGCTGGTGGAGGAGGGATGGAGGGTTTGTGCAGTGTGTCCGTGAAAGGAGGAGAGTACCAAACAAAGACAACTTTCGTCAATACATTTTCAGATATATCAAGCTGAGCGTGGTGACACACCTAGCACTCTGAGGCTGAGGTAGGAGGAGGATTCCGAGTCCAGTCTAGACAATTTAGCAAGATTTGTCAAAGAAAGAGAGGGAGAGGAGAGAGAGGGACGGGGGAGGAGGAGGGGGAAGTGGAAGGGGACGGGAAAGGGGAAGGAGAAAGGGAAGGAGGGGGGGGAAGGGAAGGAAGGGAGGGGAGGAGGGGAGGAGGGGAGCAGAAGAGAAGGGCTGGGGATGTAGTTCAGCGCCAAGCTGGATTCAACCTCCAGTATCACCTAAAAAAAAAATCAGCCGATACGCAAAGGATTGGGTGAAAGTTCCCTGAGCAGTGGGCTGTCTACATCACCTCCATAGCTCCTCCGTTAGCTCCTTAGCCATCAACACAGTGGGCCTTGAAAACATGGTGCTAAATGAAAACACACAGAGAAGGGCACATATGTATGATCTCGTGTACATGATGTGTCCAGAATAGGCAAACGCATAGAAACAGAGCATTTAGTGGCCAGCAGGGATCAGAAGGAGGGAAAATGGGCAGTGACTACTTCATGGATACAGTTTCCTTTGAGAGTGATGAAATGTTCTAGATGGTGACAATGGATGAACAATATTTTGAATATACTCTCATGGATGGCAAATTTTATATAGTGTGTATTTTACTACAATAAAAATATGTCCCCCTCAATTACTTTTGTAATTGCAAAGGAAAAATGTTCAGCGAATGAAGCCAGAAGACCATAACCAGCTGATCACAGCTGATATCAGTAGTCATAGGAGAGTCTGACCGGATGCACCTCCTGGTGGGTATTCTGAGGACACAGTACTTAGGTAACTTTCCTGCCAAGGAAACATTACCTGAATTGGATCATGAGAAAACATGAAACACAAATTTGCTGAAAATTTCATCCAATAAAAATGGTCGATTCTCCTAAGTAGTATCAATGTCATGAAAAACAAAGAAAGAATGAGGAACTATTCTAGACTGGAGACTAAAGAAACTTGACAACAAAATGTAATTTATCATCTTGGATTGGATCCTGGGCAAGGAAAAAGGAATGTTACACAGAGGGTTATGGGGAAATTTGAATATGGACACAGGTGAGATGATAGGATTCTATTATATTTCTTAATTGTGATGTACTGTGGGTATATAAGAAAATGCTCTTGTTTTTCAGTCACATGTTAATGTATTTAGACACAAAGAGGTTTGGTTTTAGGCAGCTTACTCTCAAGTGGTTCAAAAAATATGTCGTGTGTGTGTGTGTACACATATATGTGTGTATTATTCCATTTAAACTGGGGCTAACACTTTATAATGAAAACATGGTCAGATTTGGAATATATTTTTAAAAATTAATTTTATTTTTTATAAAATGTTAGTAATAGACGCTGGTTGCAAATTATTGCAATGGAAGAAGAGTGAACTAAGTGATGATTTTGGGCGTTGAGGGTTGTATCCTCCAGTCAGATTGCAGATGGGACATTCTCACTGGATGTTTGAGTTTTGTTGAGCAAGATGATGATCATGTTTATAAAAATGTTCAGAGATTTCATCAACTTTCTCAAGTATTACTTTCAATCCTTTGGTATTCAAAGCATTCTTTTGAATGTTTTATTCCACCCATATCATCTCTTGTTTATTTATTTTTTCTTCTCTTATTGCAAATTACTCCATCTCAGACAAGTTCTCGCACATAAATACCCTTGGTGCCCTTTGAGGAATCATCCAGTGTCACTTTCATCAGATTAGTGTAACTCTAGTTCTTTTGCAAGATCTCTAATTTCACTTTGCAGTCACTTCCTATTGTACATGATTCAGATTATTTTACCAGAGTAAAAAAATTACCCTGCACTCTCAGTGATTTAACATCCAGAGGCCTATTTCTCAATTGTGTCTCTGTCCAAGGTGTGAGGTTTCAGTGTAGTGTGGCTATACCATCTCAACTTCTTCATGGGGTGTGTGTGTGTGTGTGTGTGTGTGTAGGACTCACAACTGTTCTTTTATGCTGACCCTGGAAATTGCTCGAACCTACCTGCAAGGGAGTGTGGGAAATGTAGTTTTCCTGTGAGATCAGCTTGAAGGAAGAGAAATGGCGGCTGTCTACCACCCATTGTATTTCTGTTTTATGAGCCAGTGTTGTTCAAATGGAGATAGGTATTAAGAGGAGGAGTGTTGGAGCAGGGACTAATTTTCTAAGTGGTCAGATCATTTGTAAATACTTTTGTATTGTGATCATTTTGCTTTGTTACAAAACAGGGCCTCGATAATGACAACTCAGATCATGAGTTCCTGGGATAGAAGAGGTCAACAATAGGACTTTATTTATTTATTTGCTTTTTGCTACTGGCGAATTGAACCTTGGGCCTTGAGCATGCTAAGCAAGTGCTCTTCCACTGGGGCACACCCTCAGCCCAGGAACAGCATGTTTGCACACTGAGCTGCTTCTTTTTGACCCTATACCTCCAGCCTGCTGAGGAGGCACAGTGGTTTTCTGAGATAGGGATTTTAATAAGTTCTTATCCTTCTGTCCCACAAGAAATTCTTGGTGTCCAGATCCAGCAGGGGACAGCACCTCTGGCCAGACTCTGGTCCCCTGAAAGTCTCTAGGGGAGGGAAGATGAGAAGAGCAAGTTTTTATTTTCTAAGGCCCCATTCACAGTTGCTCATTTATAGCCAGGTGTTGTAGTGCGTGCCTAAAATCCTGGGACTCAGTAGGCTGAGGCAGGAGGGTTGCAAATTTGAGGTTAGCTTGGGCAACTTAGGAAGACCCTGTCTCAAAAAACAAAACCAAGACAAAACAAAATTTGCTCATTTGTCTTTTGAATTTTGTTCTGTCACTGAACTTGTTCCTCCTCCTTTTAGCACATCCTTCTCTGGGCTTCAGTGTGACCCCTCGACCCACCTCGCTCTGTGAACATGTTGGTGCTTCTTTTCTTCATCATTGCCTTCCACATCACCTCTGCAGCACTGCTATTCATTGCCACCATCGACAATGTGAGTTTCTGTTCCCACTGATCATCTCGGGGCCCTTGAAATCTAGAGCCAATAGAAGCAGAATAGAGAACATGGTTGACTTGACTGTGATTTGAGGGTGACCTCCCTGCCAAAGTGTTTCCTTGGCCTCTTTATTAGATTTCTGAGGCACAATACCTGATACCCACAACTTAAAGGAAGAGAGGGTTAATTTGGCTTATGGTTTTGGGGAATTCAGTCCATGGTCAGCTGGCTCCAAGGCAGGAACATTATGGTAGAAGGGCATGGTGGAGCAGAGCTGCTTAGTTTATGGCAGATATGAAGCAGAGCATGGGACAGTGCCAGAAAGGAAGGTACTAGGGACCAGACATAGACCCCAAGGTCACCCCTCTAGTGCACACACTGACATCCCCAGAAGTGTGCTCCCACCCCCTCCCCGGGTGGCTCCCATGCCAATCAAGCTGACACAATCAAGCTTAGCCACCACAGCCTGTGTGGGGCTTCTAGAGCATCACCTGTTTGAGTTTGGACTGCGGGACCTGGAAGACAGGAACCTACGTCCTCTCCCCTCTCATTGCTCCCACTGATCCTACTTGGATGCCTGACTCTGGGCAGCCCTTTGAGGACTGTGTGAATTCAGCTCTCCTGCAGATCTTAGGTCTCAACCTCATCTGGGCTGGATAATGCTTGGTTGCAGGGACTGTCCAGGACATTGAAGGGGCTTAGCAGCTTGCCATTTGATGCCCCTGAGACCTCCACCCCTATTTATAAAACTCAAAGGTCTCTTCAGACATTGCCTGGTGTTCTACATAGAGCAAAATCACCAAGGGCCACTCTCCTAGATCCTCCAGGTGACCCATCATGGGCCACCTCTGCTCCCTGCTCCTAGCACCTCCTTACCAGCCAGGAAGCCTAGCTCACCTGGCCATGCCCTCCCTGCATGGAACTTTCCAGACTCTACGTGGCCCCTGAAAATTTAACTCTTCCCTTTAGTATCCAGCTGGCAGCCATATGGCAAGAGCATATTTGATAATCTCTTTGGTTTACATTAAAATCCTTCCAGGCAGGAAATGAAGCTTTTAACAAAGATCCTCTTGGGCCCACGCCCTGATCCAAAGGCCTGGTTTTAATCCTGATCATTTTAAACTGCAGAGATATTTAAGGGGCTGAAACACCACTCAAAGGGCCCCAAAGTGGTCACCAGCTCTGCCCACTAGAGGTCCCCTGTGATTAATCATCTTGACAACAGTAACACCTGCCACTTGGTAACACCCGACCACTATGGGCCTTTAGTGCTGATCATTTCCTGATGAGGGAACTGAGCCTCCAATAGTTCAGGGCCTTGCCAGAGTTTACACTGCAGGGTATACACCACCCTGGAGGCTGTAGCTCCTAGATTCTGTCAGGGGAGGTGGGTGCAGCTTGGGCCCCAGATGTTCTTGCTGAGCTGCCATGAGTGGCCTGAGCAGGGACTCCGTGAATGCTGTGACTCTTTGAAAGGGTCCACAGTCTGAGATAAATGGTATTGGATATTCTTTTAGAATCTCCTTTTTCTAGTTCTTGCATTGCATCCTTTGGGATCCTGAGACGGTCCTAGACTTAGTAAAAAGGACAGACAGGCTTTGGGAGCAGGAATCCTGTTTCTTTTGAGGAGACAGCAGGACAGACGGTGCTCATCATGCTGTTGGAACTGGGCTCAGCTTCATAGCCGGGCCCTCACGGAGGGAGGTGCCCAGTCTTTGGGGGAGGGACAGCAGAAGGAAGGCTGTCCCAGGCACGCGGGGCACAGAAAGCTCAGAGGGAAATGGACGCACTGGCTGAGGCTGGAGAGTTCGGTGTCTGTTGGTCACAGGCTGCCCTCTCCACATCATCCTTTCTGGTGGGATCGTCTCTTAGTAGCGTCCCCTCTGGGCCAGAAGGATGTGAGCCCTCTGGTCCCTCCGCACACCTGCAGTCTGGGCAGTCTGGAACCTTGTTCCGTTAGCCCTTCAGCCCCAGCCCAGGCCTCCTGCCTCAGAGTCTGGGTTGAACAAGACCCAGGTGATTCACCTGCACCCTGCAGTTTGAAGGATGGAGCCCAATAGGTGCAGTGTTTACTTGCATCTCACATGCTGTTAGGACTCTGTATCGCCTCAGTGACAACATTCCTTCTCTCTCTTGCTGTTTCCCTTTGCAGAACTGGTGGGTAGGAGAAGACTTTTTTGCAGATGTCTGGAGGGTGTGCGTCAACAACACGAACTGTACAGAAATCAATGAAAACTTTGTAGGTGAGTGTGCCCCTCCCAGGGGGAAGGGGAGGTTCCTTCAGCCAGATGCAAGTGTTCCGACCCCACCCCTCTCCTGCTCCCCACCTGCTGAGGTGGCCCGGCCTGGCTTTACTCAGTGCCTCATGGAAGAGGGACCAGAACAAGCCAGAGTCACCACTCAACACCCAAGCTAGAGGCAGGTGGGGAAGACTTGCTGAGGGTGTTGAGGCCCCTCCCTCTGTCAAGTGCACAGGTGACCCTGGGAGGAGGTCTGGGAGGCTCCTTGGCTGCCCTTGCGTAGACTACGGGTCCTCAGCCCACGCCCGCACCCTCTGCTCGCAGATTACTCCACACTGCAGGCCGTGCAGGCCTCCATGATCCTGTCCACCATCCTCTGCTGCATCGCCTTCTTCATCTTCCTGCTGCAGCTCTTCCGCCTCAAGCAGGGGGAGAGGTTCGTCCTGACTGCCATCATCCAGCTCATGGCCTGTGAGTCCGGCAAAGCCTCAGAAAGGAGAAGCTGGCTGTGCACTTTATAATCCAGAGTTCGGATTTAGCTAGGGGGTCAGGGAAGGTGGGTGTCCAGAGGCTGTGAAGCCCGAGCTGGGATCAGCAAGGGAGCAGGAGCTGCTGTCTACAGTGTGCTGTCTGGGTACAGGGTCGGGGAAGAGTGTGCTGGGGAAGGGAATGGTGTAGCCGGAGCCCTACGTCGGGCAGCCTGAGAGCCGGCCAGTGGGGCTGCAGTGTGGAGTTCCGGGCTGTGGTGGGACGTCGGCCAGTTGGGCAGGCAGGGCCCGCATGGAGTCTTGCAGGCACAGAAAGGCCCGGGGGTTCTATCCCAAGCTAGGGGGAAGCCACCAGCAGGTTTAAGGGTGCTTGGTGCAGAAGTGTGCACTTAGGACTGTACAGGCTCCTGGAGGTAAAGAGATGAGCGACTCTCAGCCTCAAAGCTGGAGGAACTTGGAGCAAGCACAGGGCTCAGCACACCTTTTTCTACCTGTGAAGGTTAGCAAGGCTGAAATCGGGTGAAGAAGCCTCTGCCATGACATGATCATTTGTGGTTGTTTTAAGAAAGCTGGCCAGGTAAGGCCTGGGCCCTTTGATGGACAGATCTGTAAGAACTGCCTGTCCAGGAGAGAAGTAGGTCCCCAAGGACAGTCAGTGCTACCAGCTTCCTGTCTGTGAATATTGGCACTTCAGGTATTTCAATTGGGATGCGGTTTGGGCTGCATGAAGGTGAAAACACAGTGAACAATGACTTCAGCCATAAGGCTACTTACTGTTCTTACATAAGTAGCCTGGAGGTGGCAGATACCAGAGTTGGTTTGGCAGGTCCTCAGCATCAAACATCCCAACTCTTTCCATCCTTTTATTCTGTCATCTTAAAAATGTTGATGATGACCCCTGCATGGTCCCAAAAAGGCTGCTGCAGCACCAGACATTCCATCCTGACCTGACTGTATCTAAAGAAGCAAGCAATTAGAAATGCTTTCTTTTCCCTCATCTTTCCAAGGAATAAAATCTTTCACTGAAGGATATTCTGTGAACAGGACCTATAAATCTATAAGTTATAACAAGTAAACAGGGTTGGCAAACTATGGCCCATGCTTTTGTAAAGAAAGTTGTGCTGGAACACAGACACTCCCGTTTGTTTGTGTATTGCCTATGTTGGTGTCACAGTCCAGTTGGTGAGGCGAGTAGTTGTGACTGTAGACCCCCCCAAAGCCTGGACTGTTTATACTCGGGCCCTTCATAGGACAAGTGTGCTGACTCCTGCCTTGAGTCAGGTAGGACCCATCTTCTGGGCTGGTATTTTATGCCCCAACAAGACTAAGTTCAGCCAGCAATAATAGAGAAGTAGCCACAAGGTAGGTGGCAGTGTTCTGCCACCATTAATGTAATGTTCCCAATCGACTGAAATAAGTACCTGCCAATACTAAATGCTGAAGTCTGTCTTCAGCTCTGGCCCCGGGCTCCTGACTCTTTGGAGCGCACTGTGGCTTTATTGGAACCCTGCTTTGTTCCTGACAGGTCTGTGTGTCATGATCGGTGCTTCCATTTACACCGACCGCCGAGAAGACTTTCACAGAAGCAACGGTGTCTACTTCCAGACCTCAGAAGGCAGATACGGCTACTCTTTCATCCTGGCCTGGGTGTCCTTCTCCTTTACCTTGGTCAGCAGCCTAATGTACACGATCCTGCGGAAGCGCAAATAGGGCTGGGGAGCCGGGTCACTGCTACACAGAATCCACGCCAGATAACTGTTTTGTATATAATCATTTTTTTGTGGTTTTTCTAGCAAACATATTGTTTCCTTTAGAAGCCAAAAGGAAAAAAAAAAAAAGTGGAGGGAGAGAGGAGTTTTTGCATTTTTGAGATCAGAGAATAGGCTGGTATTCAGAACTCCTGCCCACCCAAGTCTCTGCAAGACAAAGGCACAATGCAGAGAGCACTGGGCAGGACATTTCTTAACCCTGGGGCTGGGGAGCAGTGTGACAAGACCTGTTTGGGTCTCTGGGAGGTGTTTCCTATAGGGCTTGGCCTTGCCCCTCCATTCCCCTCCTCAGCTTTCCTTCCTGAGTCTCTGTCTGAGGTGGAAGGTGAAGTGAGGAGGGACCCAGGTGAGGGACGACAATGTCCTCAGTCGATGAGCCCAAGTTCACAGGAGAACCAGGTGTATACAGCCCCTGATGTCCTGTCTTCAAGGGAACCAGAGCCCGCGCCCTCCTGCAGTGGGCTGGGGTTGATACCCAGATTTGCTGTCAGCGTCTCTTGCTTGCCTTAGGGACAGTCATCCTCCAGATGGCTCTCAGATATAGGCAAAGAATCTCCACAAGTGATTCCATGGAGCATTTTTTAAAATGCAGACTCTAGGTCCACTCCCTGGACCCTTAGCATAGGTCTTCAAGGGATCGGAATCTGCATTTCTAACAAGCTCCTTGGAAGGTGCTGGGATGCCCTGGGTTGGGGATCACAAGCCCCAAGCCAGGTGAGCAGGCTGCTAGCAGACTTGTGTTGAGAAGGCCCACTCCAGGCCAGACCTTGGCCTCTACCAGCTCTCGGTTCTTGCTGTCTCTTCCACAGCTGTTTACATCTGGGCCACCTGTGCTGCACCCCCGGCATGTGTCCCAGTGGCTCCTCACCTCTCCCAGGCCTCTTCCTTCCCTTCTGGCCCTGTACCCTAAAGCTGGCTGCCTCTGTTAGCCCCCATTCCTGCAGCCCCAGAGGACCATCCATCCTTCATTCATTCACTCACTCATTCATTCATCAACATAAATCCTGGCAAATTTGCTGCATGCCAGGGACCAGGGACTCCCTCCAAGACAGTCTCTGTCCTCCTGGGGCTCAGTCTAGTGGAGGAGAGAGACCAGGTAGGAAAAACTACAAACTCAGATGGAGCTACAGAGGGCACAACTGAGAATTCAAAACAGTCCCTGAGGTTGGAGGGAGCCTGCTTTATGTGCACCTGTTTTCAAATGCCCCAAGGCATTAGACCCACCTAAATATAGCTCCAGTCAGCTCAGACAGATGGCATTGGGCAGTGCCTGTCTGTATTGTACCCAGATGACACTTCTGAGGAGGCCCCATGGACCCCACAGCAGATGAGGCAAAAGAGGATCCCCTAGAGGCGTGGTTCTGGGCAGCAGAGCCATTTGGGTGGATCTCAGGTATGGCAGGATCAATACCATCCAGCATGACCTCAGGGGTTTTCCTGGCTGGCTGCCCCTCAGTCTGACATCAGGGCCCACATCCATCGGTGACACTGAGGTTTGGAAGACACGAGAGATGCTTCTTCCCTGCTGTGTGATGTGCATTGGGGAAGGTGGAGAAAGCTGATGAAGTCAGGGAGAAAATATCCACCCGTCTTCCCCGTAGGTAGAATCAGCCCTCAGTTGGTGCTTATCATCAGTTATTCAAGAACTACAACCAAATTAGCTAAGATGTCCAAGAAGCAAATATTAGGACCAAATTTAAAAACTGTATTTGAAGGAACTGTAGTTTGTGCATCTTACGACATTTTTATAAAGTACTGTAATTCTTAATGGGGGGGCATGTGATGGAGGCAGACTAACTTGTTTTGTTATTTGCATTAAAATTATTTTGGGTCTCTGTTCAAATGAGTCTGGTTCCAAATGCTTGGCGAGTTGCTGTGTGTGAATACGCGTGGACAGACGACACAGGAGGGCTGGGGGCTGCCTGGCTCCCACCCCCTGCTACAGGTTGCCGACCTGATGATGGGAGAACCTGTGACCCCAAGCCCCAAAGTAAGCACGCTAAACACAACAGCCTCCGTGGAGCTGCTTCACAGCAAAATTCGCCTGGGTTGGGAGTTGACTAGACAGCAACCACATGGCCCTCAAAGCCCAAAATGTACAGTTACCTAGCCCTCTACAGATAGTGTCTGCCGACTTTTTTCCCATGTGGTACCAGGGACTGAAACCAGGGCTTTTGCCTGAGCTACATTCCATCCCCTTTTTATTTTTGATTTTGAGACCCGGTCTCACTAAGGTGCCAAATTGCCCAGGCTGGGCTTGAACATGTAATCTTCCTGCTGCAGCCTCCCAGAGTGCCTGGATGACAGGCGTGTGCCACCCTGCCTGGCACCACTGTTGGTTTAGAGTCTGCTAACCAATGGCTTATGTGGCAGATGCCACAGAATCTCCATCCACATAGATGGCACGTGTTGTCGAAAGCATCTCAGTAAAGCCATATTTTCTTCCATTTTTGCTTTTCGGTGAACCAGTTTTGCTCCAAGATTTACTTTTTCTTGTAGAATCTTAACTGCAGGCTGAACACACCAATATCCTGATGTATTACTACAGTTTCTCCTCATTCTTTCACCTCCACAAGTTAAAGTGAGAGTTTAAGCCAAATTCAAACTATGGCCCATGATCCAAATGCAGCCATCACCCGACTTTGTAGAGTTTTACTGGACACAGGCACATTTAGTCATTTACATAGTGTTCAGAGTTTCAAGAGAGGAGAGAAGAGTGCAGGGATCATAAAACCTAAAGCATTCCTTCCAGAAGGCTGAGGTGCAGGTAAGACTACCACCCCCTAGTGGTGGTGCGTGGCAGTTCAGCAACAAAAGCATCAGTTCACACCGAATTTAGCAAGCCCTCCATGCTGGTGAAAACCAAGTCGTAGATTTAAATCTTTCTACTAGACCACTGCTATGTACTGATTTTATTGATCTCAATTTACTCATTTTTAGACACGTAATTTTTGTACCCTGTTTCCCTTGCAGTGTTACTCCCTCGAGTTAGATTTACAGCTTGCAACTGAGTGTTGGCATAGAATTTACTGAATAATTTCAGCCCTCTATGTCTGTAGGTTTGATATCTCTGGGCCAGGTGTCTTGGAATCAATCTCGGCTGGAAAATATTAAAAAAGAGACAAAAAAATTACATGTGTGCTGAACATGTATGGACTTTTTTGCTTGTCACCATTCCCTAAAGGATTCAGTATAACAACTATGTACATAGTATTGACATTGTATTGGGCGTTAGTAGAAGCCTAGAGATGACTTCAAGTATAAGAGAGAATGCATGTGGGATATGTGCAAATTTGATAGCATTTTATCTGGGGACTCTCGCATCCTTGGATTTTGGTATGCATGAGGGATCCTGGGGCGAGTCCCCCTCAGACACCAGTGGGATCATATTGGAAAAAGAAAACCTTTTAAAGTACAAACACATTTTGAAGTCATTGTAAACAGACATGTTATGAAAAGTACTTGTGAATGCTGTCTTTCAAGATTTTTCCACATCAGATCTCCATACTTGACCTTGTAGGACAGGGTGTGTCAGTTTCAGCCCCATGGACATTAGACTGGAGAGCCTGGTGTGGTGGGCATCCTGGGGACAGTGGGTGGTCCACAGGATGCCCGACCTCTACCCACTAGATGTCAGTATACAAGGTGTGATCAATGAATACAGTGAATGCTTAAATTCTTTAAAAAATTATTAAAGTAAAAGATGAATTGCTATTAATTTTTCTCAGAATACACTCACTTGGTTCAAACACACTTATCCCATCATTCTTGCCACTTTCTGAGGCAGTTCTGAAAGTCCTCTTTAGCGAGTGTCTTTAGTTGTGCTGCTGAGGCTGCCGCTATGTCCTGAATTAATTCAAAATGTTGACCTTTTGTTGTCATTTTGACTTTGGAAAGGAGCCAGGAGTCACATGGTGCCAGATGTAGTGAATAAGGTGGATGAGGACATACCATAGGATTTTCATAAGCCCGCCTTTCCATTGGATGGCACTCAGCAGCAGGATTCACCATATTTTTGGTCATACCTTGTAAAGACACTCATGAGAGAAGATTCCCAGAATTGATTCAGAAAGTGACAAGAACAATGGGCTAAGGAAGAGAAAAGAAAAAAAAAAAAAAAAAGGAGGGGAAAAGGGGTTGAAGTGAGGGAGGGGATTGGGGAAAAAAGAAGATCAAGGTATGTTATTTACAGGTACAGAGTCCCTATGATGAATGTGATCATTATATATATATCTAAAATGTACCAATACAATTAATTTTTAAAAATAATAAAAACTAAAAAGAACAATGGAATAAGTACATTAGAAGTGAGGAGTATTTTGAGGGGTTGTTAATGGCAGTGCATCTTTTACTGTAATAATTTTTTAATTTTTAATTTAGACACTCACTGTATTTTTAGTCATGCCCTGTACACTCTCAAATCACTACTGCATGACAAACAAAACTATCTCCAGACATGGCGGTCGTCCCTGCAGGGGGTTGATGTGTGCCAGGAAACCCCGTGACCGGCAGTCTGAAGGTGAATGGGGCCCCTGGGGGCTGCTGAACTTGACCACAGAGGGGGTCAGCCCAAGGCAGCGCAGGGCAGCGGAGGAAGACAGAACAGGGGCTATGACGTCCCTCCTCCCAGGACCCTCTGCACCTCAGCCAGCAGTGCAAACCAAGATGCTCCATCCCAGAGCTCACACTGCGTGTTCACTCAGGGGCTTGTCCTCAGCTAGAGCAAACGGGGACAGGGGAACATTGCTCCTCTGTGTTTGTAGGAGACAACAGTGTAACTTCCCCAGGGCTTGGCACATGCATGGAAAGAGATGGGATTTGCCCTTGACACAGGGCTACCTTAAGTGACAGAATTTTATTTTTTGACTTTTTGGCTAGGAGGGGAAGTAAAATTGTGGCAGCATGCCCTGAACGCCCCAGACCTTAGAGCAAGGTGGGAGACCTAGACCTTGAGGAAATATTTCACTAGCACCAAAGGGACCTGCTGTCCCTCAGAATTCCAACCATTGAGCCACCTGCCCTGGATTCATTTGGTCCCATTTTCCTGCTCCCGCAACCCTGGGCTAACTGGTTGGCTTCTCTAGGCCTCTGCATCCTGTAAAATAGGACTCACTCTGGCAGCAACTACAGGGGGACATCTAGTCAGTGCTTGACGATGGTCGTTCATTCATCTTTTATTATCACCAAGTCACCAGGCCACTGTCTCCTACCATATGCAGCAAATTTAAGGCTCAAACTTAGATTTTCTGACTCCAAATCCTGGGTCCTCAACTTTGGCCAGAACCACTTGGGAGGCTGCTGATGCCCAGATCCCACAGAGGTTGAGATTTAGTTTTGTGATTTTGTCTGGGAGGCAGCCTGGGCATCAAGGCTGTTCAGTAAAATTCCCAGGTGTTCTAACATGTAGCCGGGTGGAGATCTGTCTCCACTTCACATTATAACTCGAGGCCTGCCAAGCCCATCTGGATAGTGCAGTGTTTGTCCTCCAGACTTGGTTTATTTCACTTAGTACGATGACCTCCAGGTTGGCCCATGTGGCAGTGTGGCAGTGGCACAGCTGGGGGTGGGGGTGAAGGACCACCCAAGCAGCATGAACTCCAGCTGTACCACTGCCCTGGGTATGTGGGCTATACTGAGCTACACCCTTAGTCCCACCTCCTTTGTTTTTATGGTTTAGTACTATCCCATTATATAGATAGATCATATTTTCTTCACCCACCCACCCATCCATCCATCTGTCCATCCATCTATCCATCCATCCATTAATGCACCTCTGTGTTCCACATACATAAAGGTACCTAAAGGAGTCATATTCATAGGAACAGAGGGGAGGGTGGTGTTGCCAAATGCTGGAGGACCAGGGCAGGGGAGCTGCTGTTTAGGGGTATAGAGTTGGTTGTGCACAATGAATAAGATCTGTGGCACAACATTGCGCCTGTAGCTAGCAATACTCCGCAGTATATGTAAACATTTAAGAGGGTAGACTTCATGCTATGTGTGCGTTTTAAGCCACAATTTAAGAATTGTGACAAGGTCAAAGAGTGACTCAGCAAAGTGCTAATGCTCCAGAGTGTGGGAGGCCACAATAGCAGGACTCAGCCACAAGGGGCTTCCTGGCAGAGGCTGTGGCTGATCTCGGCATTTACAGATGATGGGAACCAGGAAAGTGTGGAGTGGGCACAGGAGCAGGTGTTGGGCTGAATGAAGCTCATCCTCCAGGCCTCATGAAAGGGACAGGATTTGGGTGTTTAAGTCAGGATTTGAAGCCCTTGGTAAACTATAGACATCCAGCTGCAAAGTGACTCCCACCTGTTAGCAAGAGGTGGCCTGGAGTCCTGCCACCCTGCCCCAGTTGACAGTCACTGAAGTACCTATCCAGGCTGGGGACTTAGCCTCCACATGCCAGGCCTCCTACTGGCTTGTTTTCTGGCCAAGAAAGGTACATGACAAATAACCAGATTTCACCTACAACTTCAAGACGATCTCACATTTCTGTCTCCCTGTGCTTGGAAAGGTCTTTATAATTTGCTGATTGGAGAGAAAGCTTCTTAAAGTGTAGTACATAGTCCTTCTACCTTAGCATCCTCTGGGGAGGGGGAGCCATACTCATACTTGTTGAATAGGAATTTCAAGGGCCGGGGCCCTGGGATCTGCCACTTTAACAAGCTCTCCGGGGACATGGACAGAGGATGCTGGCAGGTTGCTATTGGGAATAGTTAGGCAGGCAACAGTGATGGCCTAACACACCTGTGCCTTCTCCCTCTCTGTCAGAGCTCTCCTTTCTCTCTTTGAGCACAAAACACAGGGGCCCTAGGAAGTGCTTAGAAAATACAAAGACTTCAG